CTTCTAGCCTATCTCCGGCTCCTTGTAAAGGTGTTTGTCAAGTAAGTCTTCTTTCGGTTGACTCGCTATCCCATCTTCTTTCCTACTTCGTTTAGCTCCTTCAGAAATCTCTCCGTTTTGGTGTGTTCCTCGAAAAGAAAACAATATCGACTGCATAACAAAGATTTGAGAAGAACATCCCATCAACTTGTATACCCCTCTGTTCCAATACAATAATTTTATCAGCTACTGCAAGGCGGAAGTAAGTAAACACCTCTTACGACGCGATTTTGTTTTGTCGAGCTCCCTTGGCAGTTGGTATACCTAAGGGAGTGATGACAAAGTTGTACGGTTGCAGAGCAGTTCTTATTTGCACTCGACCACTGTCTTCACTAAGACGAACGGTGGCGGTAGGGTGTTAGCCTCGTTGCTGTCAAATGCTTTCTCGTAGTGACGAAGGTTAGGATAAGAAGTGGGCGATACTATCAGCGGGCTTCGATAGTCCTCGAAACCGCCTGTATATGATCCGCACCGCTGCATCCCCCCGAAATCCAGCTTTTCTTTAGGTTGGGCTCATGGGTCCTTGATATACGAGTGAAGATAATGATCGAGATAAGCTTATAAAGCACGATCAGCATGTTGGAAGGTAGTTCCAAAGGTCTACCTATCCCCCTTCTTACCAGGAGGATTTTTCGAGAGGTTCTCCGAGGGACGGAGATTCTTTGCTTTTGAGGACTAGTTAGGTTTGCCACAAGCATCTTTTGTAGACGATGTGTTCTAGCTCGTAAGAAGTTGTCCAGAGACGTTGTCTGGTCCATGAGCCGAGCCCTTCATGGCCTGGATTGCGACGCTTCCTTTAGGTGATACAATCCGTGGTGGTATTCATCCAGTGAGGACCACGTTTGACACGGTTTGGTGTCATCTTCTTCGTGTTCATTCTATCTTTTGTCGAAATGTGCGAGTCTTGCCTTTGCTAGTTTTGTCGGCGGAACACTATAGAGAGGGTCTTTCTCACTCCTCTAAGGAAAGGTTCCTTCATTGGCTCCTCCTCGATGGGCCAGTCACAAGTGATAAGGAACTCCTCCAATCTGATGCAGTCATTTACGATTTTCCTCCTTCCTCCAAACGTGACAGGTTTTCTTTACCAACTTTCAGGCTCGAAGTAGACGTGCTGAAGGATGGTACCACTACGACCTTCAGTAAGCACCATCTTTGGTTGATAAGAATGTGGTGATCTCCGCACCATTGAGGGATTCCTGCCACCGGCACTGTTATTCTGCAGGAAGGAGTTGCCATAAAGAAAAAGCCCTGCCATATGAACAACAAGACGGTTGCTATTCTCATTCCGAAGTCCTAAGTTCCAATCCTATGCTCCCCTTCTTCTGACATCCCAATCGTCGCACCGAAGTCACATAAGACGAACGGAGAAGGAATCCGGTAAATCAATACGAAAATACTTGATGATAACTTTACGGATGTTTTCCTCCAAATCCTCATAAAAAGCATTTCAATTCGGAATGTAAGCTGCTGAGTTGGAAAATAATACGCAGGTAATAATAGTGATGGTTTTCTGAAGAGGATGGATCGAAGGATAGCCTAGAGAA